CAGGAGAGAGATGAATAAGTTGCACATTAACATAAGATAAAAATGAATAAAAAGTTTTTGAATAATTTAACACTGAAGAGTTTAGATTCAATTACTTCAGAGAATTTTTTTTTCAAAATAACTACACTAAGCGTTTAAAATTAGGGAAACTATTATTCTTTTATATTCTAAATGGAATTTCATGTTTTGTTTGCATTGTCGTGTTTCATGGTTCTTGTTCTCAAACAATGCTGCACACAAAAAACAAGTATTCGACCGCTTTAGATGACTTCGGAATGTTTGTAAAGAAGAATAAAGAAACTTTAAGCATTCATATTATTGGTCAATATCTCTTTCGTTGCATTTTCAAAAAATATTAGAGTCATTCTTTACGCTACAAATGGAAGACCTTTCTCGGCAATGCAAACGTTTTCACATTGCAACACGGATTTCGGAATGAAGATAGAAAAGCCATACTTTTCTTAGAGAAGCCGGGGCCAAATGAAAGAGCGCCGGAAGGGCACCGCCTCTGCATGGGCCGAGGCCTTCGGTGGCAGGCGCATGACGCTCGGGCGAAGGGGCGGGGCACGAAAAAGGGGCGGTGGCGCGCTTCCAGCAACACAGACGCGTGCGAGTGCGGCGCCGGGGGCGGGTTGGGAGGGGGGGCGGCGGCGGGCGGGCACAGAGCGCCCCGGAGGGCGGGAGCAAAATGAACGGGGTTTGATTGGAAGAGCGAACTACGGAGAGCAGAGAGCGAGCGGAGGACTGCGAAGGAGTGGGGCGGAACGGATGGAAGAAAGTGGGATAAGAAGGAAAAAAGAGCTGGGCGGCGGAGGCATAGGGAACAGAAAGGAGAGCGAGGGTGATGGCTGAATAACGAAAAAACGGATAAAAAAAAAAAGCATATAAAGAGGAGGAGGAGGAAGTCGTAGTGCGGGGCGAAATGATATATATAAGAGGTATGAATGCAAATAGCAATATCTCACTCATGCCAAGAAGCAGATATGGTTTTTCGGAGTTGCGGGCGTTGGAAGTGTGTGATTGTGGAGTGTCGGTGAACACACAATTAAGCTGTGTGTGTTTGAGGCGAATAACCAACGCAACGTCCTCGTCGGCAACGCTACGGTCTCCTCACGCCCCCAAGATTTCTGCCTTTTGCCGTTAACCTCGCATTTAAAATGCGGGCGACAACTCTTTGTACGATTGTAATTAATGCTTGGCGTAATTTTAGCCACATGAATTAACATTTTCAATGAAAATCAAAATTATTGAACGTGGGGCCCCGCGGGCGCTTTCGGCTCGTCGCCTGTGCCTTGGGCTGGAGGGGCATCTCCTGAGGGGCGTTGCGTGCGACGCGTGGGGGGGGGAGCGTGGGGGGCGCGCCAATGTTGCTTATTTACGGCGCGTCACAGGAGTGGCTTTTCTATGGGGTTGGCGCCGTCTCAGGATGAACTAAGCTGGCGCGTCATTTCTTGTTAAAGAATTTTTCATTTAGATGTAATTTAAAACGATTTTAAGTTTTGCTTTTTATAAACATTTATAGTGTATCCATTTAAAGATGGTGGAATTTCATTTGATTGTGCAATGCAATGCTCAACTGACGTTTTTCTTCTTTTGCAACTTGGACGTTTTACAATGGGTTCAGTTAAGCGACCCTGCGCGAAGAATGGCTAAAGCAACTCGCTCAAGGTGGTTTCGACGTTAAAGCCCAGTTTTGAATTCTACGCTTTGGTGTTCACGTTCATTGGTGAAAATGCTGGCCCCTTCCTCCCTCTGCGGATGCAGTGCCGTGCGCAACGGCCCGTTTCCCCACGGGCGACAGCTGCTGCTCACGCCATCACGTTACGTGAGGCTGACCCCGGCTACTAGGTGAAATGGAGGATTTGCTCTTTTTGACTTCTCCTTTTAAGCACTACCTGCAGTCACAGATTAGAAGAAGATTTACATACAAATTAATTTCTTGTTTTCTTTGCATTGGTGCAAGGTTTTACACGTTAGTTCGTTACGAATCCGGGATATATCGAATGTTAACCATCGCACAAAACTACGTCTACTAGAAGTATTGCAACAGGTTCCAGTAGTCGCTGTTCCGATGTCGGGGACAGATGTGAAAATCCTTCATTTTATTTTTCTCGCCTGTGCGAATTAACTAATATATTTTAAATTCCGTTCTACACTTTACTATATAAGCACGAAAGTAAAGATGCTAGCGTCCGACACTCGCTGGTCAGCTAACGAAGAGGGACTCATAGCAGCAGGTCACTGCGCCCCTCGATGGAATGCAGAGGGCTGCTGCAACGCCTCCAGGGTTTGGATAACGGCTACGCTCTTCCTCTGCCCTTGGTGCACTTTCCAGTTGACGAGGATTCTTCGGCTCAAAGGCTTCCATGTGTCGCTTAATTGCGTTTTATGAGGTTTCGCGAGGACGCAAGTGAAAATTTGCGTGTTGCGGAGAGACATTTTTTTCAACCGGCTAGGCGAAAGAAAGTAAGAGGAAATCTGCTGCGACAGAGGCGCAGGGAGGAGGAGGCAAAGAATTGGCTGCCTCTCTCCAGAGACTCTCCCTTCTCCTTGCCTTTAAAGTGGCTTCGTTAGGATCAAATGAACGACGCGACGGCTGGAAAGGAGTTCTCGCGGTGGTGGTGCTGTGAGGCTGAAAGGTGTGAGGTTAGTGCAGTGTTGCAATGGCGTGGCCCTGGTGAGACTGCCTGCTCCGACTCTTCGAAAGGGAAAAGAGAACAATGCGTGGTGCGCGTAGGGGTTTTCATGAGAGACGAGGCCCGCATGAAGTGAGATGGTAATGAAACTGAAAACCTCAGGGCTTTGTAATTTTAGAGCTGATGTTTTATAAATATGACTTTTATTTCGCGACTAAAATGTGGGAGAAAGAATGTAAACGTTTTGTGAATATGTTCTATTATCTCTTAATTTCTGCTAATATGACGTCACTGCCGTATTTGCACACCGGACTTTATCACACTACTCCATTTACCAATATTCATATCTTAAAATAAAATTGCGTCGCTTACCACAACATCTGTAAATCATGCACTGAAGGGTACCCTCAACATAACACCGTCTGCAACTGTACTGGTTTTGCTCATTCGACTGCTCACTATGCACGAACGAAAATAATATTAATAATTAAGTATGGTTTTTGTGTTGATTAAATTAATTGTAAAAGAATTATGTGTTGGAACGAGCATTTTTTCTTCAGTTCTTAGATCCATGCTTCCCATCCCCCGCTTGAGGGCCCTCTGCGCTCTCGCTCTGTGCCTGCGAGGGAAGGGGGCGTCAGCTGGCAGCAGCTCAAAGCGCAGCTCTGTGCGACTCGGCGCAAACACAGACGAGAACATTTCATAGGCATTCACAACGCACGCTCGGTTGCCCTTCTCTCGACTCAATGCACAGGCCAAATAAGCATGCGCAGGCAAGAATAGGGTTCTGGATTTTTCCTGTCAAACGGTTCTTACTGTCTTTCGCGAATTAAACTAAATATAAATTTGAAAGAATAAAAATTGCCAACCTCGTGCATATCTCTTCACCTGTGAAGGGCCTGCTGGAGAGGTGTTCCTTGCGAAGTGTCTGAAGGCAAGTGGTGGGGCTATGGCCCGCCCGCTCCTGCCTCCCATCCGCTGCCGGCTGCATGACAATACACAGCCCGACTAACCGTTTTGTTTTGGTTTCCGCTTGCCCTACTTACTTCGCAAGTGTTCGCGTCGTAAGAGCGAAACTGTGGCTGTGTTCGGTGAAGGCAGCGCAGATCGGCTGCTGATGGCCGGGCGGAGGTAAAAGGAATGTTGGAGGTTTGTGGTGAAGGGTAAATTTTGAGCGTGAGCTGCTAGTATGGGAGGACGGAGGAGGACATGGGGGGCTGGCGCAAATATCCGCTCCACACTCTGCCCCAAAGCACTTCCTCGGGACAATTTTTACGAGTTCCTTCGGCCCCTCGCCCGCCGCCGCTTTGCAGTTTCTGTTAAGTTGTGTGGCGGGCTCAAGCGTCATTTTAGTTCTCTCTGTATGCGTAATCTGCTGAAAGAGGTGGTTTAAACGATACTGCTGCGCTCACCGACGCTCTTGTTTCTTCTAAAAAAATAAAGAAAGAAGAATTGAAACTTTGTCTCTGTAATTGTCTTAGGAAAAGAACGTTTTGGCAGCGTATCATATTTTAGTTGCATTATAGGTAAACATGCACGGAATACAATCATGAAATTTTTGCAAATTTTCTCAAGATTCACAGAGTAAAGGGTGATAGCGGGTTGTTTCTGTTTTTACGGAGAGAAGATTGCTTTTATTTTAAATATTTCATTTTATCTACAGAGAAATTTCGTCTCTCTCGCCCTCTTCTCCTCTCCTCTTCGCCTCTCTCTCTCTTCTTCTCTCTCGCCCTTCCTCTCGATCTTTCTTCCTCTCTTTTCCAACTGACTCTTTTCTACATACTGCAAGTAGACTCACAGAGGACGAGGGCAAAAGTACTGTGTGTTGGCAGTGAGGAGAGTCGAGCGTCTGCTCAAGAGCAAGCAAAGAAAGAGCGCGCCTTCTAGCGCTGGCATGCGGGACAAGGCGGACGAGAGAGGCGCGAGGGGCGAACCCGCTAGTTATCCTCTAAAGAGCGGGAGGGGCAGCCAGCCGAAACGGAGAATATTAAATTCTGTGCGCGCGGGGGAAGCGGCTCAAGATTTACTGCGATTCGGGTGGGGAAAGCGCAGGTGCTCCACAGGGCCCCCTACCCTCGCGCTCCGATCGCGGATCAGATGGCGAGCGAATTTCCAGTGCCGCGCGACTTTCCCCTCACCCCAGACCGCCACGTGCCCCCCCCCCACGCGTCGCACGCAACGCCCCTCAGAGATGCCCCTCAGCCCAAGGCACAGGCGACAGCCGAAGGCCCGCGGGGCCCACGTTCAATAATTTGATTTTCATTGAAAATGTAATTCATGTGGCTAAATTACGCCAAGCATTAATTACATCGTACAAAGGTTGTCGCCCGCATTTAAATGCGGGTAACGGAAAGGCAGAAATCTTGGGGGGGCGTGAGGAGGGTAGCGTTGCCGACGAGGGCGTTGGCGTTGGTTATTCGCCTCAAACACCACGAGCTTAATTTGTGTGTTCACGACACTCCACAATCACACACGTTCCAACGCCCGCAACTCCGAAAACCATATGCTGTTCTTGGCATGAGGTGAGATATTGCTATTTGCATTCATACCTCTTTATATATCATTTCGCGCACTACGACTTCCTCCTGCCTCCTCTTTATATTCTCCGTTTTTCGTTATTCAGCCATCACCCTCGCTCTCCTTTCTGTTCCCTATGCCTCCGCCGCCCAGTCCTTTTTTCCTTCTTCCCACTTTCTTCCATCCGTTCCGTCCCCCACTCCTTCGCAGTCCTCCGCTCGCTCTCTGCTCTCCGTAGTTCGCTCTCCACTCAACTGCCCGTTCATCTATTGCTTCCCCGCCCTCCGGGGCGCTTCGTGTGCCCGCTCCGCCGCCGCGCCCCCCTCCCCAACCACCGCCCGCCGGCCCCGCACTCGCACGCGTCTGTGTTGCTGGAAGCGCGCCTAAACCGCCGTCCTTTTTCGTGCCCGCCCCTTCGCCCGAGCGTCAAGCGCCTGCCACCCGCAAAGGCCTCGGCCCATGGCAGAGCGGGCCTTCCGGCGGGCTCTTCATTTGGCCCCGGCTTCTCTAAGAAAAGTATGGCTTTTCTATTTCATTTCCGAAATCCGTGTTGGCAATGTGAAAACGTTTGCATTTGCCGAGAAAGGTCTCCATTTGTACGTAAAGAATGACTCTAATATTTTTGAAAAAATGCAACGAAAGAGAAATTGACCAATAATATTGAATGTTAAATTTCTTTATTCTTCTTTAGCAAACAATCCGGAAGTTCATCTAAAGCGGTCGAATACTTGTTTTTTGTTTGCAGATTGTTTTGAGAAGACAAGAACATGAAACACGACAATGCAAACAACATGTAATTCCATTAAGAATATCAAAGAATAATAGTTTCCCTAATTTTAAACGTTAGTGTAGTTATTTGAAAAAAAATTGTCTCTGAAGTAATTGAATCTAACTCTTCAGTGTTAAATTATTCAAACTTTTATTCATTTTTTATCTTATTGTTAATGTGCACTTATTCTCCTCTTTACCTTATTTTCACACGGTAATGGAGATAAATGTAAAAGAGCCGCGTAGACTTTTCGCTGCGTGATGCAATTACCAACGAACTCCACATGCTGATCGCTATCACTTGCTGCGGTGCTCGCGACTTCTCACTAAACGCACTTTCCGCCGCTTCTTGCACTCTAAACTCGCCCTGCTACAAATATAGCGGCGCGTTCGCAGTTTAGCTTCCTCAATACGAGTTGGTATTCTAAATATGATGATCAAATATTGTGGGATACGTTGCACACCAGCAGGTTTTAAACAATATTTCATACTACAGTTAAACAATATGTGCCGGTATCACCCCAGGGAGTAATATCGGTGCGAAGTTTGTTCCAACAAGTGAACCTGACTTTTCTATAACACTTAGTTAATTAATCAAGTTAATCTTAGTTAATGTAAACAAGTTCATTTATTTTATTTCCCACATCTCTCTTATATTTCTGTCCTGTGTCAGTCTCGTCCGGTTGTAGCCTGATATTTTTGTAGGTAGTCTGCCCATATTCCTCATTGTCTTCCAATTTCCTCCATCTAATTCTGCGATCGTATGTTGTTGTGTGATCCATTAGAGTATTAATGCCGGTTGAACTGCGAATTTTATTATTGAGAATAAATGATATGTAATATATGTTCATGATATAAATAATGAGATACTGTCAGATGGTAACGTGCCGTGTACTATTGCAGA